ATGTTATGAGATAACTCAACATTTCGCTCATGTACAGGGTGCCTAATCAACATTTACTTAGAAGATCAAAATAGCTTGAGCATATAATCACAATTCAATCCGTTCACATTTTAGCACTTTCGCCTTCTTCAGAGCTCCATTTATTTGACTCGATTGTCCACATCCGATCGTTCCTGTGACCTGGGTCTCTGTAGTTGTATGGAGTAAAACCTCATGGTGTCGAGTACTATTTGAATAAAGTTTCCTCACTTATAGTTCGCTTTACGCACGACTATTCCAAACTATTTGTTCATCAATGTTTTATCTTCATGAAGACAAACCAATCTTTAAAAATACATTACATAGTCGCATCAAGATATTATAAAGTTTGTTAACCAAAGCATCCTTAATAGTTTCATTTCACTTTAATCAAAATAATAACTCGACCGCTTAAATAGATATTATAAAGGCATCAATGAGAGAGACGTCAAGATCAAAAAATGCATGTGCAGTATATATTACCATATAGTCACATATTTTAAGGCTTTGATGAGGTCCATCATGGCACTTATACAGTGCAAGCCACGTGTTCCCGCCTCCCAGCTTCGTCAATTGCTCAGTGCCTTTCGGTTCAATCAGTTTCGCGAGAGTATCCCCTATATAGAGGGACCGAGGCTAAAATATTTACATTTGCTTCTAGCTGATAATCTCCCAGTTGCACAGTCGATAGCTCGTGGCGGTAAAACATATACTGTCATACCTTTCTTCTGAAATGTTTTTTGGGTTATTTTATAACCTGGCAGCACGTGTGAATATTTTGGTGTCGCTTCCTCTATGTGAGGGATATCTCCTGGGTGAAGCTGATTGTACCAAAAGACACCATGCAACTGACAAGCCTATAATGGCGAAGTACCTGTCTTTCACTGCATAAGTGCCATAAAAGACTTCATGAAAGGCTCGAGATATGTTATGAGATTACGTTGGTTTGAGCGAGGCCTCAAAAAACAGTCGAAAAGAAAGGTATGTTACAATAGTTCTCAAGGTCGACTATCTATTAACCTCGAGATTCTTCAATAAGTCCTTGTTTTTCTAATTTTACAGAAAGATCAATGATTCACAGTAGTGTTGTGTAGTTAATAGGCAGGTGAAAAACAATAAAGGAGGTGCACGTATGACAACTTAGAGCTTATTTCGGTTAATTCATGCCGTGTTGTAAGGAGATAGGGATCCGTCATAAAACTACGGCATGCATTAATGAAGAACTCAGCGATTAATGTATACTCGTAGATAGAGGCAAGAACTGGAGCCACTGAAAACTGTGTAAGAACAGGGTTTAGAAATTCTTTTATAGTAATTTGGTTTCATGTGCACCGGTAAGGCATGAAATTTGAAAGTAATGCGTTTTATAAAATCAGCTGCTCAACAGCTGAAGCTCACTCTATGATTTAAAAAGCACTTGTGTGACAAAAATTGTGGAAAAAGAGTCTGAGCTCAGTAAACAAAGGATAGACACTGGATGTCTAAGTTTTCCTTTGACGCTGCTACGTTTGAACGTATACTCAAAATAGTCCGTTCTTTGTCAAATAATAATAACTCGCACTAGTTACTGAATTACCTGATCTGTGAAAATTGATGGTTCTTGTCGGAGTTCTGCCACTTTCACGCTGTTTTAGAGTTTCTGCTGTGCCAAATTGGCACACCTTCATTTCTACAAGTCAAATTGGCCAAATGTCTGCAATCAAGTGGCTGCGAATTGCATCCGGGGTGATAAGAGGTTGTCTTCAATGAATAAGCTCCTCTATGGCATTCCGCGAGAGACTGACAAGCTACGCTTAAGTATCCAAACCCACGCTTTAAGCGTGGCAAGCTATACGTTTGGTTCAAAAATTAACACATCAAAAAAAGGCGAAAGTCATTTTCCTCACCCTAAGGGAACGCTTAATAACACAGCGTTGAGAAAAAGAAGAACGCAAGGATTCTCAAATCTGAGAGCGACACTAGGCTGCTAAGTTTGCAACGGACTAAGGCGACGATGTAGCTCTAAGAGGTACGTACGATACCAGCCTGAGTAAGATAAAAGGACATCACCCGATTGATGCCGTCTATGATACCGGAGAAGATCTGTTTTGAGAATATGCGATAGTTAAGATGTCGGAATATGATGTTCTCTTCAAAACGAGTTCAACTATGAACATGAATACATTTGTACAACTAACAGCCCGGATTGATGCTTACTCTTGGAACGATGTGGGTCAAAGCCGGCTTTGGTTATCCTTGTTTTATACGCACCAGAATCAAACTTTGACAAAGACGAGAACGACGAGTTCTCTTCCAACTTGATAGATTTCTATAGAAAGTGGTATACATTCTTCAAAGCCACCGATCGTAGAATTAACACAAAAACAGCCTAGAAGAACGCTCAAAAGACGTCACGTTGGAACCCTCGGGTTAGCACGCAACGAATAGTTTGAGACAGTGCTAACAATTTTATCATAACTCGAAGCCATTCATGGTTACTCACATTTCCACAAGCACCACTTACAGCGGCAAACGTCAGGATTAGTTGAAAGTAATAAAACGAAATAGAGCATATCCTAGTGAATCGAAGGTCCTGCCTAACTAATCTAGCTGTTCTTCCAAGATTCTGCACGTGTTCATGTTATCGGCTCCCACACGCAGCATTTCATTTATATCTAAAATTAGGGAAAACAGTTAATTCAAACAACGAAATCCGGAACTACCATAAACTGACACGTATTCAAATCATTAGTCGGCTCTTGTGAAGATACCGCTATTAAGTACAGCAAGAAATAAAATAACCGGCCCATCCAACATCTTTGCGTTGAGCCATGAAAGCGGCGAATTCCAAAGTCACCAAGATACGGTCCAAGGAAGGCGGTACGTTTCAAGAGTAGAAGTACGGACACGAAGGGGTCGGTTTCTTCCCAGATTTGGTTTCGTGGAGATTTTCAAATCCTCAAGAGATTGTCATGTTCAGAAGTCGCTCATCAAATCCGTGCTCACCTTGTTATGGCCAGATGCCTGTTTATTGAATATGCGAAGTACAGAGCCTCCTCTCCACGCCCGTCGCGGTGACAATTTGTGAACTTTTATTCATTTATTCACACGACCCGTCATGACAATTTTTTTTGGGGCGGACCCCAGTACTTCTAGCATTCGATTTGTATTTCATCTTCTTATTGATTGAGTTGAATACTGACCGAGCATGTCCCCTTGCAATCTTGTGGATAGCCTGGCTGTGACGTTCTTCTTAACTGCCGGAGAGTGCTGGGTGGAGCTCGGTCTATCGCTCGCGACGAGCATCACAACCACTCGGCCGCGGTGCCTCCGTTTGTGAGCATAGCTAATAAAAGGAATTGATGTTATCAGTCCGTTTCAGATTGTCTCATCATGATTTGTACCACTTAGTATGGCTGACTCTAAGCCCACAGAATCTCAGCGTGTCTTTATGACTGGGGTGATCCCAGTATCTCTTGTGCCCGACTCGCTTCCTCGTATTCATCCTCCACATTCGAAGTTTCGATCATTCCACGCATGATGCTTCGCCTGCTGCTTGAGGACTTCGCCTGACTTATAGGCGTCGTAGAATGCTGATTGAGACGAATGTTCTTGCAATCCTTCAAGTGACCAGCTAAAGCGTTCCCTGAGACGTTCGTTGACTGATTGCACGAGAGTGTCGGGAAGAGGGGATTGAAACACTGATCCGCTTACCATCTCACTTTCTGATACTCTGCATCGCGAACCACTGCGCTATCCCGTCCACAAATATCTTATTTATGCCGATGTTAAATAATATTCATCCTTGAAGGACTCTGCCGCTGTGTGATCGTCGTTGAGATATGAAGAATTACGTGATGATAGAGTTCAAGCCCATTTACCCTCCGCCCCTCCATCCCATGCTCCAATTCGAATATCTGCTCCAATGCCATAACATCTCGTACGGATGCTGGAAAGGCTTCACTTACTCAAAGCGGACGTCGACATTGACTTTTCATGTGGAAGGTTCCCGATATTGATCGGCCTGGTATCGATTGTTATTGATTTTTGATATTGATTGAGCCGGTATTGATTTATCGTGGGCAAAAATCTTCCTTTACTCATCTGCTCTTTCTCTTCTGTTTTCTTTCACTTTTTCCTTTCTCTTTTCTTCTTCTTCTTCTTCTTCTTCTCTGCTTCTTTTTTTCCTTCTTTTTTTCTTCTATTGTTGCTAATTATCCTGAGAATTTTACAGAATACTCAGGATTTCCAATGTTTTTACTGCTTTTTTTTTCGCAGTGTTATTATGTTTCAAATGGGCCTAAGAGAATTAAGTAGTGAGCAAAAATTCGACATCAGACGGGAGTTGAACCCGCGCTTCACCCTTACGGGGGCCGCGTGCTACCACTTCTACATCACCGAGGCACATAGAGATATCGAAGGATGAGTGGTGGCGTAAAATGTGACTCGGTGGTGTAGTAGTGGTAGTACGCGCTTGCGGTATGGGTTAAACGCGGGTTCAACTCTAGCCTGAGGTCGAGTTTTTGCCCACTACTTAATTCTCTTAGATTTTAGATTGATTTTACAGAAATTTGAAGATTACTCTCCTTCCTGCTAGAGCTCTTTTCTCTATGAACTCTTCCATCTTTTCAACTAATCATATTTTGTTTCTTTGCAAATAATGTTTATTTCGTCAACAATTTACTCACGAAACATCCTTGCTGTTAGTTGTTGTAATGATCGAGTTTTTGCCTTGATATTTGTTGTCTTCAAAATTTATTTTCACTTGATCTCCATGGGAATAATCAATAAAGTCTTGTAAGAAATTGAGGTTACGAAACGTCTATATCAAAATCGTCATTGGGATAAAGTTCCGATGCCTTCTTCATCATCTTTAGAACCTGTGGTGTGAGTGGATTGTCCACAGAAGTTCTTCCTACCTCCCTTTTTCTGAACGACTGTGGACAATCGACTCGAATCATCGGCCCCGAAGAAGCGGACGAGGACGTCAAGCCGTTAACTGAATAAAGGTCTAGATACACAACTTCTTGCAACATCGTTGCAGTCAGTTGTTGTCAAGATCGTTGAGGTTCTTCGTTGGTTTGTAAATGGATTGTTTATTTGACAAATGGAGCCGTGGCCTGGTGGTTGTGATGCCCGCTACGGCGCGACACGGTGCGGGGCCGATCCTCATTCTCTAAGACTCTCCGGCAGTCAACAACGAACGCCCTATGGAAGTCACAGCCAGGCTATCCTCAAGATCGCAAGAAGTGTTTAATCAGTATTGTACGACGTTCTTGACGAAGGCAAATCGATACGAATTGAATACTAGAAATACTGGGACCCTCACAGTGAAGAAAGCTGTGATACGAGTCGAATAAAATAATCAAGTGAAGATCCCGTAAGTTTTGATTATTTTGAGGAAATTGGTCAACCTCCCAGTTGGTCTACCGACTCACCGTTTCTGGGAGGTGCTCATGGGTGATGGACTGCGAAGTACAGCGGAGGGTTCAGTTTCCCATCGGGGTCACCCAGTCTAAGATGGACATCGAAGTTCCCAGCCGGAAAGCCCACATAAGAGTAAACTGTACCAAGAATGTCACAGGAAGAATAGGACGATGTCACTAGAATAGGATAATTACGAAACCCGTATCACATTTTTACTGCTCGAATCCCAACACTCCTAGCATTCGATTCGTTCGTCCTCTCTCATTCACTGTCTGCTTATAGACTTCGTTATCTTCATGAACGTCGTAGAATGCTGGTCGGGCAGATCTCCTAGCAATCGCGAGGATAGCCAGGCTGGAGCGTTCTCTGGGGCGTCCGTGTACTGACTGCCGGAGAGTGTTCGGCAATTGGGAAGGAGGATGGGCGGACCGATCCCGCAACGACAATCACTAGCCCTTTCGGGACCATGGACCCACGGTCTCTACATCTTCAACTGGCAGTTGTGGACGGTCTGCCCCATCTCTTCTACATCTCTAATCCCCAGCGTGCTATTGTTAGACGCAGCACGCTGTGCGTTAGAGATGCCGAGGAGGTGGAGCGGACAGTGCAGAGTTGATGGTCAGAGATGCAGAGACCGTGGGCCCAGGGTCGCGAAAGGGCCAACCGCTCGGTCCAGTCGTGTATGGTCGATCGCCTATCACACCAAGTCCGCAGTCGACGTGAAGTTAAACGTCTGGAGCTCTACGGAAAATAAGAGACACCGTATCTGAAAAGCTCTGAAAAGTTTTTTTTCCAAATTATCGTCATTTTCCTGTTTAGTTTTTACTTTGGGTTTTGTGTTTTAGTTTATTTTATTTCTATTATTTAACTGAAGCTGGATAATGTAAGAAGCAGGTAAGTCTATTTCTCTCATTTTTGGTCGATGTTTTTGGTTATTTTGCTATGAACTTACTACTTATTTTTTATTTTATTCTAATCCCTCTGTCCAGTGTTGACGATTGATAAGTGTTCTCTGGTGTTTTCAAGCATTTTTCTGAGCTTTTAGGCGACGAAATGTCGAAAAATCTAGCGGACGACGACGACTTCTTTGGCATAAAATGCTTCTCTTCCGATCTGAACAAATCCGATGAGAAAGCTGAGGTACGCTATATATCTCATATGACGCTAATTACACTCCGTTACGTCATTTTCAACCACATATTGATCTATTGACAGCATATTTCAAGCCTTTTATGAGGTCTTTTACGGGCAGTTATACAGTACAATAGGAGCGCATATGGCGCAGTGGTTAGAGATGCACTGTCGCACAAAAGATTGATGGTTCGATCTCGCGCCCATGGCCACTAAGCCATTCATCCTTTCGAGGTCGGCAAATTTTTACCGGGCTGGTCTCAGACTTGTCTGGGTGGATAAGCAACACTGACCCGTTACAACGGGAGGCCACCGCGAGTCATTGTAAAGCCAGATGTGCATTCAGTCACCTCAAACGAAGCTAAAGTTGAAGACGAATGCATGACGCATCCCTCAAGGATTGATCAACGCCGAGAGCTTATCCTTGATCCTTTTTATGAGGACTTTCATGGGCTTTTAGACAGCGCAATACACCGTTTTCGGCCTTGCAGCCTTGTCTGTGCCATTCCCTCTCGGAGGAGGACCCTCTTACATAGAAGAATCGTCGACGAACATGTTGCCACCTCGTGTCAAGTGAAAACTCACCTACCCACGATAACATATCACTGAAGGCCGAGTGACATGATCACGGAATTGCAATGATTAACAGACGATTGCTCATGACTAGTATTTTATTTTTCTTTTGTTTACTTTATTTCGTCCGCCTTTTACAGTGGAGTGGAGCTCCACCCCCGAGCTCTCTTCGGCGGCCAACATCAACGCCTATGGAACGCCACGGCCAGACTATCTTCGAGATTACAACTAGTTCCCTCAATCACTATCTTACGATCTCCATTAAGAAGACGGAAAAACCAATTAACGCTAGAAGTACTGGATCACACAGTGAAAAAACACTGTGATGGCGGGTAAATAGAGTGTAAAATTATCTATTTCCTTATTGGCATCGAAATTTACGAGGATTTACAATTCAACTGCTCTTATAGCAGGTCTGGTATTATGATTATATATCCAATGACGAAGATTCTTATGCAAATTGTGGACTCTAGGCGGGTGAACTCCCGCTTTACCTCACCGAAGGCATATGAACCACTGAACCACCGAGACCACCACTCTGCTAACATTCTGTCCCTCGATATAAGCCACCGAAGCAATAGTTTCGCGTATCATTCAGCATCGTTGGATATTATATTGCTAATCACCGACGAATCTCGCCATCTACTCACTTGTTTACTGGATATTACTTATTATTTGGATGCTTGGTTACTTCGACGGTTCGTCTTCACTGATAGAGTGAGCCCCAGCACATGCAAATTGTGCTGGTTTAGCTGTCTTGCTTCCTGGAGTTTCGAGGTAAGCCTAGCTGGGGTTTCCTCAGGTCGTCACCACATCAGAGCGGTTTCCGGTCCTCGTGGATCAGAGGGAAATCACCACCTTGCGACTAGCAGGCACCGAGACGGCAGTCATTTCTGTACGATCAGCTCATAGCTGGACTTTCTGAGTGGATATGCTGCACTCATAAGCGTTGATGTCCGTGTTGGGAGGTTGAACCTTCCGCTGTATTTCGCTGACCCAGCTTCCTAGAACACCTCCCAGCCACGATGAGGCAGTGAACCGTTTCGGAGGGCCAATACTTATTTACAGTTTTCTTATCTGATCTTTTAGCGGTCGTATGATGTTATAAATATACCCAATGATGTTAAGTGATAGATGCGTCGTTACGTAGAAAGAGAGCTAGCAAACAGGCGTCGGTGGTGCAAGGGATAGAACACGCGCCCTGGGTAGGGTGAAATGCGGTTTCGAGTCCTGTCCGACGCAAAAGTTTTGCTCCTCATTCAGCATCGTTGGATATATTACTTATTTCGTTATTGCCTTGCCTAGTATCTATTCCATCTATATTTTATTATTGTATCTATTTGTTCATACTATCATCTAATTTATTATTTTCCACTTATCATTCTTTATCAGCCTAAACAAGTCTTACGAGAAAGTCGAGGTACGCCTCATAGCTTCGCGTATCGTTAGTAAGATTACTATCTCTTGTTCTTCTCAATAGATGGTAATGTAGTTGCAGTCAGGACCACTTTTATTTCATTTTTCACTTATTCACTCTTCCTATATGTTCCATATCTTCACACTGTTCTCTTGAATTCGTTTTTTTTTAGGCTGTAGAAGTGACTAACTCTTCTGGAAAAACGGCAGTGACCAAATCTGTTCGTCGACATTCTGTGAATGACGACAGCGTAGTGGAGAAGGACGATAGCGAGTTATCAGGGACCGAATATTTGGATAGGGTCTTTTTTCCAGAAGCTGTAAATGTTTTCTCATATCTTTGCCGTTTTTGATGAAAGTCAGGCTTTGCGGTTTCTTTCATTTCTAGACACCAATATCAGCAAATATAGAAAATGAGGAAGAACAGCCTAAGGATTTCTTCGAGGAATCCTTCTTCCGGAGAGTGAAATCTGTTGAGTATGTAATTTACGTCGATTGAGCTTTGAATTTTCGGTGTTGTCATGGAACTGAATTTCTTCTGATGTTTTTTCTTTGTTCTTCTTAAAGATAATTATCCAAAGTATCTTCAGAGCATCGATAACTTCTAGTGAGATACGATCTCAGCATGAAAATTCTCAGGATCATAAACGTATCAAACGAAAGGATTCCGCTAAGATCTTGCATGAAGAAAATATGGATTTCTATACGAAACTGAGGCAAAGTAGCGCTGTGAAAGGTTCTAGAAACGAGTCGTTTCCAGTGAGTTGATTTTGAAACATTTCACCTTTTAGAATCCAATGAAATGGTCATCGCTATGATTTTTGGCTATATATTCTTTCATAATTAGAGAAGAACAA